AGACAAAGCGGGTGCATAAGCAAATGTGGTGAAGAAAGCTGATGGAGCCTAGCTATCAAAAGATACAGCATCTGGGGTCTTAAAGGCTTGAAGCTAAACAAGGGGCCATCTATCTCAGAAGCAGCAAAGCCCACATGGAAGAAGCACACCAGCCTGTGTGATCACAAGGTGCCAAAGGGATCAGTTAGGCATCACAGATATGATTACTGAAGACAAATGGGTGCATAAGGTTTTAACTGAGATTCAGTTTCTGAGATTGTAACTCTTTATGGGAGTAGAAAGCCCTGTTTTCTCCTGAGGAGCTCACTGATGGTTTTGAATCGTTAACCTTTCAATTAGCAGCCTAACTCTTAACTATTACATCACTGGGGCTCCTGAACACAAGTGGGTAGGTACATAGAAGAAAAGGTCTCTCCATGCACTGAAATACTAGTTACCCATAAAAAGAAATGAAGCACTGATCTATGTAGCAACATGGCTGAGCCTTAAAAACAGCATGCTAAGCGAAAACAGCTTACAAACTTGGACAGTTGGGCTTTTTCTTTTTAAAGTTGGCTTAGCAGCCATTCAGTGGGCCCATCCATTCATGAGGACCTTTAACAGCTGTTTTTCTAATGATCCAGAATCAGTACTTGGGGTGATTCTTGTTGAAGATCCACCTTCAAAGAGTGACAACAGCACAAGAGGTCGCCCTAAGAATCCATGGTTCAGTAACAGAACAGAAAGGACAGATCAAGAATAATAATAAGAACCACCTCAAACATAAGAAATAGCCCAAAGCAAACACATTCCCGTTGAGTTGATTCCGACTCACAGGGCCCCTAATACGGTTTCCAAGGCTGTCATCTTTGTGACCTGGTGGCGCTGTCAGGTAAGTGTTGGCGGCTAACCCCGCCACAGGAGAAAGACGAAGCTGCCTCCTCCAGAATGAGTTACAAAGCCTCGGAAACCCTATGTAGGGTCACTATGGGCCAGAATCCACTTGATAGTAATGGGTGGTTTTTTGGCTTGGTTGTTAATCTTAACAAAAGCAGAAGGCCTCATCTTTCTCCCATTGGAGCGGCTGACAAACTGGCTACCTTTCAGTTAGCGGCCAAATGCTTAACCACTGTGCCATCAGGGCTCCTTAATGCTAAATATGCACCCTCCATTGTTCACCCTTGGTCTCACACTGTCCTGTCATGAGGACATGTCAAGTTGAAAAGTTTCCTCAAAGCCAGTCTCTCTTGTCTACGTCCATCTGCATTCCAGTTGTTATCGAGGCAGTTAATACAAGACAGGTGTAGCATGCCCAAGCAGACGGTATGTAATATTTAACTCGAGTCAGAATTTCAAAGGGACTTGAAACTGTAGCTGCAGGACTTCCGTGGAGTGAAAACAGCAGCCTGTGTCAGCAAACCAATTTCCTTACTCACCCAAATCCACAGCCGTGGATGCATCCACATGGGCAGCGAACCCGGGGATATTGTGCCCTTCCTGTGTCCTTGGATTTCTCTCACCTCTGAATTTTTAGCAGCACTTAAATCCTGCCACCTGCTCTGTCCGTCCTGGGGCTTCTGATATGACTCTAAAGCTTTTTATAGCCCAGGGGTGGGAGTGAGGGCATAGTATAAAATGGATGAGGATACACATTTGGAAAAAAGACCATTAAAAGACAAAGTAAATTGTGTGTCCAGCTTAGAGTTCTACATCCTGCATTCCACACACATTCTCTAGTTAGTATGTGCTAGAGAGGCCCTGGTGGCATAATGGTGTATGTATTGGGTGGCTCACTGCCAGGTTAGCACTTTGAGCTCACCAGCTGCTCCTCAGAAGAAATTTGAGGCTATATTCCTCCTGTAGAGATTTCCTGCCCCCCTTGGAAATCCTATAAAGGGTCACTGTGAGTAGATGTAAACCCCACAGCAGTGAGTTGAGTATGTGCTAGAGGTTAAGGAGCCTTGGTGGCCCTGTGGGTTAGGGGCTGGCCTGCTAACCACAAGGTCAGTGGTTCAACCCCACATGCTGCTCTGGAGCAGAAAGATGAAGCTATCTGCTCCTGTAAAGAATTCCAACCTCGGACACCGTCTATTAGGGTCTGGATGAGTGGGAACTGACTCACCGGCAGTGGGTTCGGATTTATGTGCTGGAGGCTATCACCCCTGTCTCTCCAGTGCTTGTCCTGTCTGTTGCCATGAGGTTGGGAGTGATAACACTGATATTTCCAAGACCAGCAGGGTCACTCATGGTGGACCAGTTGTTTCAGGGGAGCTTCCAGATTGTGACTAAGAAGAGGCCTGGCAAGCTACTTCCAAATCTCTGCCTGTGCAAACCTGACTGATCCCAAGAGAATAGTCTGATCTAGTGCTGAAGATGAGTCCTCTCAGTTTGGGTGGATGGGGGTGGGGGTGGGGAAGATTCACAGTGGCTGCAATAAATGGGCTTGATGATCCTAAGATCAGGACGGTGACACAGGTCCTGGCAACGTTGCCTTCTGGTGGACGTGGGGTTGCCAGGAGTCCGTGCTTGGACTTCCCGACAACGAATAAGGGGCTGAGTGCAGAGACAGAAGGTCTCCGCAGTCAGGAGTGGCCAGCTCAGCGGAAGGCCTCCTGATGCGCAATCGGCCATGAACAACACAGGTGGTGTTCCCACAGAGATCACCCTGGTTGCTAGGTGAAGCACAGAGAACATGGGCCCCAAAGCATGCTCTCCATCATCTGGCCAGCTGCTTTTCCTCTGGGTCAGGGCACTTTGTTAAAGGAGCACACTCTGGCACGCACGTCAGCAAAATGCTCCCTCACTTCTTGGCTGAAAGCCCCTGAGGGGTTCCCCTCCATCTCAGGTTAGACGAGCCACTCCCAGAGGAAGGCAGAGGGCCCCACCCATTTCCCAGGTCCCTGCCTTGGTGTGGGTGGCTCCACGGCCTGGCCTCGCTCTTGCCATCAGTGGGTCTCACCCCTGAGACTAGGGAAATGAAACGACAAAAACCCCAAGCCCCAAAAGATCAAACACACTTGGATCTGAGGGGAGGGCTTAGCAGTGTTCAAGTTCTCCAGGTGACTCGAGTTTCACCTCCAGTGGACACCACTGCTCTGCACAAGTATGCAATACACACACACACACACACACACACACACACACACACACATTCTCACAACTGTCCTCCCCCAATACTGCTCTGTTCCCGCTCCTGGATTCAGTCCAGCACAGCAGTTATTTCAGGACACATGAACAGCCCCCACTGCACAGAACGGTCTTACAACAGGTGGCTCTCACTGCCTGAAGTAAAATGATGTACCCCATTCCCGAACCTCATCCCCATAAGAAATTTGCTTACCTCTTAAGTCAAGTGCTGGGTTGCTAAGTGAACAGTTGGTGGTTTCAACCCATCAGCTGTTCAGCGGGACAAAGAGGAGGCAGCCTGCTCTGTAATGACTGCAGCCCAGGACACCCACAAGGGCAGGTCTATCCTGTCCTATAGGGTAGCTGAGTTGGCATCGATTCGACAGCAGTGGGTCTGAAGAAGAGTGGAAGGCAATGCACATTTCTTGAGCAACTGCGCCACACACACTCCCACTGAATCATCTCCCCCTCCACATAAGTCTGAGACCTGCTGCTTCCTACCATCCTCATTCACTGTCGTCGAGTCAGTTCTGACTCTTGGTGACCCTATAGGACAGGGTAGAACTGCTCCTATGAGTTTTGGAGACTTGAACTCTTTACCGTAGAAAGTCTCAAGTTTCTCCTGCAGAGCATCTGGTGGTTTTGAGCTTTTGACCTTGAAGTTAGCAATCCAATGCATAGCCACTACGCCAACAGGGCTCCTCCTACCATCCTAGAGCCCAGGAAATCAGTCAAAACCATTTAGTGCTTCACATCTGGCATGTTTTTTAATGGTACTGATTACATTTGTTTCAGTTAATGTGCGTGGCTGCTAACCGAAAGGTTGGAGGTTTGAGTCCACACAGAGGCATTTCAGAATTGCTTGGTTATCGACTTCTGAAAAGTCAGCTATGGAAAAACTTACAGAGCACAGTTCTCCTCTGACCCAAGTGGGGCGCCAGGAGTCAGTGTGCCCTTGATGGCTGCTGGTGGTTTGCTGTTTTCACCACGTTTCATTATTGGATGTTTGTCTTCCCCTGATGGTTGTGGTGGCATAGTGGTTACACATTATACTAACCACAAGGTTAGCAGATTGAAACCACCAGCTGCAATGTGGGAGAAAGTTGAGGCTTTCTACTTTTGTAAAGAGTTATGGTTTCAGAAACCCGTAGGGGCAGTTCTAACCCGTCTGTAGGGTCGCCATGAGTCACAATTGATGGCGGTGAGTTTTGAGTGAGTCTTTCACTCAAGGCTGTAGAACTACAAGAGGAGAATCTCCTCTATGGCCAGTGCTTCCTTCGCCTCAAAATTATTTCTGTGAAAAGCATCTAGATGCTGTCCTCTCTGCTTGCCAGCCTCACTCCTTTCAGCCCTGCCAGCTTTTACTTCTCTGAGCAGTTCACCCCATGTCTACTGCTCTCCTGGGAGACTGACTCCAGCTCAATTCTAGTCACAAACTCAGGCAGTCATGCAGCCAAGCCCTCTAGGGATAAAGAGAGTCAGGAAGGGAGCACCCTCAGAAGTGAGGGGTGCTGAGCAGCCCCTCTTCGTGGACAGGCTTTTGACCATGCTGTACCTCAACTTCTTCATCTACCAGACAAGAGGAAATCCCATTTCCTAGGAGAAATGTGAGACTTCAGTGAGACAGTCCTTATAAAGTGCTTAGAACTGTGCCTGTCATCTAGAAAGCCTGACTGACGGGTACACCCTAACAAACCAACAGAATGAGTTGCCATGGAGCTGATTTGGACTGAGAGCCACCTTATTAGATAGAGGCGAACTGCCCCAGAGGGTTTCCAAGGCAGGTGGCCTTCTCTTTTACACCAGGTACTTCTAAGTAGGTTTACACTGCTGACTTTTCAGGTAGCAGCCAAACACTTAGCCACAGCACCAACAGGGCTCCTTCTGACAAGTCAATGAGTCTACGATGGTAACACTTAAAACATATCTACTGTACCAGGCATTGTTCTGGATCAGGGACCGGCAAGCCTTTTTAGTATAAGGAGTCCTTGATAGCACTGTCAGGTAAGCGTTGGACTGTTAACTAGAAGGTCAGTGGTTCAAACCCACCAGCTGCTCTGAGGAAGAAAAGGCTCTCTGCTATGGTGAAGATTTACAAAACCCAGGAACCCAACAAAGGGTTGCTATGCATCAGAATGGATTCAATGGCAGTAGGTACAGTCAGTGAATAACTATTTAAAGCTCTGTGGGCCAAATAATTTCTGTGTGGACTATGCAACTCCATTCTTCTTGTAGAATGGCAAGCACGATGGCCATACTCAGTTCTTAAACCAACGGGAGAGGGTGGTTTCCAATAGAAATCCACTATAGAAACAACAAGCAACTCAGGTGGAGCAGTGGTTACACACTGGGCTGTGAACCACAAGATCCACAGTTTGAAACCACCAGCTGCTCCAAGTTAGAAAGATGAGGCTTTCTACTCCTGTAATCTCATAGGGGGCAGTTCTATAGGGTTGCTATAAGTTGGTATTGTCTTGATGGCCGGGAGTTTATTTTTAAATAGAAACAGAAGGCTGGATTAGTTCCCCAAGTCATAGTTTGATGTCTTCTTTTTAGGGAAGTGCTGTCCAACCAATATAAGGGGACCCATGCAAATCACTTACTACTTCTGACAGCCACATTACAGAAGACAAAGTACCAGGTGAAATTATTTCATTTTACAGTGCACACAAATATTGTTCTCTCCACATGCAATCAATAGAAACAAATTACTGGGCTATTGCACGTGCGTTTTCTTTCAAATTCTCAAAAGTTCATTGCTTTTACACTTAACAATTACAAAACCAATCCACTGCCATCGAGACGATTTCGGTTCATAGTGACCCTACATAGGGTTTTCGTGGCTGTAAACTTTTACGGGGCGACCAGCCTCATCTGTCTCCCAAGGAACGGCTGCGGTGTTTGAACTGCAATCCTTGTGGTGAGCTGCTCACCCGATAGCATATCTCAATTCAGACTTACCACAATGTGGGAGGTAGCAGCTACCCTTTTGGACAACACGTTCTATACTAATAAAGATGCATATACTAATAAAGATTATTGGCCACACACATACGCCGAGCTTCTGAAGAGACACCAACAATCCTTAGATAGTGTCAGTAAAAGCAGGTCCATGCTGAATAAATCCAAATAAAAGTTGAGTTTCAAGGAACTGCCTAAACTCAGCAAGGGAAAGGTCAAAAGTGAGAGGCGTTTCCTAAGCTGCTTACAGGTCACCAGCAATCTAATTAAAGATCTAAAGAGAATTCCAAGTCTCTAGCTCTCTCCCACTTAGCTTTTCAGGTCGGGGGCGGGGGGCGGTGCGAGGGAGAGAAATGAACTATTGGAAGAGGCAACCGTTTTCCGCACGGCACTAGGACTCTTTCCCGCGGGCATGAACTGGAAAGGACCAACCCAAGAGCCAGTCAAGCCCGGCTTTGGGTTCCAGTGGAAGGGGTTCAAGCAACTGTGGCCTGCTGGAACCTTGAGGGGCTGACCCGGAAAACCGGAAAACCAGCATCTGATCTAGGCCCCAGCGAGCCTGGGGAATAACTCACCGAGAAGTGCAAGTGAAGCCGGAAGATAAGCAGAGGTCCCGACGTCCAGTAAGAACTTCCGGTGTTCTGGAGGAAGGGGCGGGACATCAAGAAGCCAACCAATCTAAATCCGAGGAGCAGAAGACTCGCGCATGCGTGCTAAGGAATTGGCAGTCCGCGCTGAACTGCTGAGGTGGATTTACCTCAGCTCCAGCAGTTGCCACTCTTGGTGAGTTTTAAGGACGTAGGAACCCTCATTTAATTTGATTTTATTTTACAGAAAATGTGCCGATACATTTTAAAGCTGACCCTTTCTCCTTTTAGTCGAGACAGAACGATATAACCTCTGACAAGTCTCAATTTAATTAAACTAGCATGTATTCACCGTTTGTGAGTTTATTTTCCTGTGGTGACTTTTGCAGTTGCTGGGACGCTGGAAGGGATACCACCAGTTTTAGTTACCCCCGGGGCCCCGTTTTGGGGGATAGGTCGACTAGGAAGAAGGATCTGGCAATTGACTTCTCAAAATTCTCAAAACAAAAAAAACAAAAAACAAAAAAAACCCAAACAAAACAAAATAAAAAACCCCAAACTCGTTGCTATCCAGTCAATGCTGACTCAGCGACCCTTTGTGGGTTACTGAGACTGTAACTGCTTACAGGAGTAAGTAAAAAGCCCCGTCTTTCTCCCACAGAGCTGCTGGTGGTTTCAAACTGCCATCTGAAAATTAGCCAAAGACAATCTAATGGCTAGAACGTTCAGTTTTCCTGAGGGGGCTACAGAACTTATCAACAGTTTTCATTCTTTCTATGAGTTGGTTACAGTGAACTTTTAGTAGATATGTAGTAGAAAATTAGTAGATGTTTACTGGACAACTGTGTGTATCCTGGACAACATCTGTGCATGTGATTTGCCCCACAAATGCTCAGTACAACCAAAGTGATGGAATAGAGACTGGCAGCCTGCTCTGCTGATCCCCTCCTTTATAGTAATTTGTGGAAAGAATCCCTAAGTTAGATTTTTCTCAGGATTAGATACTGTCAGGAATCAGGGTGAATTGAGAGTCATAGAAACTTTTTTTTAAGGTTGATTGTTGATGGTGAGATACACAACCAAATATACATCCAGTCATAATTTCTACATCAACAGCTCTTTGCCATTGGTTACATATTTCACATTGGGGTCTCATGATCACCATTACTACTCAGATTGTTTCCTGGCCATTAATTATTATACATTGGGCTGCTAATCACAGGGGCTGCAGTTTGAGCCCATGAGACTGATGAGACTTTCTCCTGCTGTAGAGTTATAAGAGCAGCTCTAACCTGCCCTATAGAGTTCTTGTCAGTCACAATCCACTTGATGGCAGTGAGTTTGGGATTGGAGTTTGATTCCTGTAAAGAGTTACAGACTTAGAAACCCACAAAGGCAGTCTACCCCATCCTATAGGGTCACTATAGTCTGAATCAACTAGAGGGCAGTAGGAGTTGGCCCCCTTATAAAGTCTCATCGGTGCTTTAGTTGGCACTATTGTCAGTTTACACTCAAAGAGACATTTCATAATCAATAGGTCTCAATGGATCCAGTAAGTCTGGTTTCCATATGGCTCTAAAGTTCTGTCCCATGGTTTCCCTCTTTCTGATCAGGACCCATCTATCAGGTCCTACATCAAAAAGAATAACATAATCTTTAACTAGAGCAGGGCAGAGTAAACTAAAACTAAAGCCTTAACTGGTAAAGCAGTAGCACTAGGAGTTGTATTGTCCAGGAGAGGAGGGTGTTTGGCCATTGTGTTCTGAACAAGGTTCATGCTATTTATTGCCTGTATTCCAAGGCACTCTAGGGTCATAGTGGGTTATAAGTTGGGCTACTAACCCACCAGTCACTCCACAGGGGAAAGATGAGGCTTCCTGCTTCCATAAAGATTGACCACCTCAGAAACCCAGAGGAGCAATTCTCCTCTGTCCTATAGAGTCACTCTGAGTCAAAACCCACTTGATGTTATTCAAACACGATAACAGAAGAGTCATGTTTGTCTTGATCCATCATAATTAGAGGATGTCTGATATTGGTGAAATGATTTGTGTTCATCAGGAGAACACCAAGGCTCACCTGCGAGCTCCAGCCAGTTCATAGCCACAACTAGGCCCCGTGAGTACCTGGCGAGCTCATAGCTCTCAGCTCTTTTTCTCTTCTTTGAAAACATGGTAGGGTTAAAATGTTTACAACTGTAAGCTTCAAAGTAATTTTCTCTCAAGGATTATCTATTGACATTTGCCTTATTAGCAGTTGTCTTCTCTTCTCAGCGTTCATTTCCTGCTTCCTTTTCTGGGTCCTCCTGGCTCCTCTTAGAAACATTCGTTTACAAACACAAAGGAGGTACTAGTCTTCATAGCCACAATCTCTAGTTTGAACAAGGGGCCCAGGAGGAATACTTCTTTGATTGTAAGATTAGGAACACTTCACTCTTGAAATAACTAAGCTGGTCAAAATAATTGCAGCCAAATGATGCTGTCCAATTTCCCTACTTTGTCTTTGGTTGACTGAGGGTTTGGTGTCATATAACAATCATAGTGTTGCAATGAGTCAGTATTGACTCAAGAGCAGTGAATCCATTGTTATAAAAACAATATCCTAGAGCATTCCCCCTATGTTTTCTTCTAAGAGTTAAATGGCTTTAATTCTCACATTTCATGTTCATTTCTGTGTATGGTGTGAAACATGGGTCCAACGTTATTTTGTTACAAGTGGAAATCCAGTTGGCTCAAGCACTGTGTGTTTGAAGACTTGGGCAGTGGGCGGGCATTTTATCCTATTTTTTAATGCCTGTGCTGAATAAAAAAAGTAGAAATTAGTCAAAAGAGCAAAAAATAAAATTCAATTTTCTGCTGGTGAGAAGGGACAAGAAAACATTATTTCATTTAAAAGGCAAACTGTCCCAGTGGTCGTTGGGGGCAGGATTCCCCCTGAGTGCCTGTGGGGTGGTGGGGGGCAAACTGTAATTACTGTCTAGTCACAATGGACTATTGACATTTAAATTAATTATAATTTAAAATTCAATTCCTCCATCACACCTAGCTACCTTTACCTTCTCCATAGTCAGGAGAGGTTAGTCTAGGGTCCTGGCTACAGCGTTACTGAGGACAGTAGCAGACAAACCGCATATACTCGTGGATAAACTGAGTTTTCTGCATACTTTTAATGCAGTTTTTTGTGGTAAAAATAGGTGTCTTGGCTGGTATTTGGGTCGGCTGTACTCGAGTATATACGGCTTATATTTGAGTATATACAGTAGCTTCTGTTTACAAAGCTTACTCCACCCTGTCTTCCTGAAGCTGGTGCCTGGCCTTTTGGAGTTACCGGCACCAACAAGAAAGATATGTGTGATTCATCATGTCTACAAAGTTTATAGATGCCCCAAAGGCATAAATACCCTGGAATTTTCTTTGTCTTCTCTCTCCCTCTCCCTCTCCCCCTCTCCCCCTCTGCCCC